GAGTAAGATTTTAACTCGTGTTACACAGTGGGCAATAAAACAAGTAGATAAAATCAGTTAGGATATAAAATATTTGAACACTAAAAATTAAGAAAATTGACCTAATGGACATATATAGAACACTGTACCTAAGAACTGCAGAATATATATACCCTTAAAATGCACATGAAACAGTAACCATAATTGACATTTACTCAGCCATGAAGACAATCTCAACACATTTCAAACACACTGAAATCATGCAGAATAGACTCTGATAGATCACAATAAAGATACTACTACACACCTACTAAAATGGATAAAATTAAAGATAATAGCCATACCAAGTGCTGGTGGCAATTTGGAACAGAAGGAACTCTCCTATAATGATGGTGAAAATATAAAACAACATAGCCCCTTTGGAAAAACAGTTTAGCGATTTACTAAACAATTAAATATACACTTACCATGTGAGCTATTCATCCCACTCTTAGGTATGTATCAAAGGTAAATGAAAATATATGTCCATACAAAGACACACATGATGTTCATAGCAGCTTATGACAGCTAAAAAAATGAAAACAATCTGTACTAGTTTTCCGTGCTGCATAACAAGTTACTACAAATTTAGTGGATTAAAATGGGTATTTTATTCAAATTGATTTTTGAATAGGAAATTCACTAGCATAGTTCAAAATATCAAAGGTATATAAGAATATAAAGTGAAAAGACTTCATCACACCCTGGACCCTGGGACATCTACTTTCCCTCCCTACTATAATTTTTGTTGAAAGAACTTTAAAAGAGCTATTTCGTGCATATAAAAGCAAATCTGTATTTCGTGCATGTGCATGCATGCACACATGTGCATTTATATGTTTGTATGAGTATGGAGAATAGAATGGTACACACCAGGTAATTGTTATTGGTTACTTTGCACGTGTTGGATAAGGGGGAAAACTGGGAAATAAAGAAAATCTGTTAACTTTTTCTTTGTACATATTGGCATCATTTAACTGGTTCATCTGATTCTAGTCAAAAGCTCAGGATTTTGAGAAATAGATTACTTATTTGATTGCCTTTAGCAAATTTCTTATTCTTTGTGTGCCTCAACTGCCTCATTTACAAATGGAGGTACTAACAGTTCCTATCTCATAAGACTGAGAGACGATTACAACAAATAATCAATATAAAGTAATTTAGCCTAGTGCCTAGCATATTGTAAATGGTTAGTAAATGTTAGCTATAAAAAAATAACCACCTTGAATTATTTTTCAAAAACAAGAATGATTCAAAAGAGTCTAAGCACCCAAATGAAGAAGCTAGAAAGAGGAAAACAAAATAAACTTAGAGAAATGCAAAAGGAATATTTAAGGTCAAGAGTGTGGTAAATTCACACTGTATACTCTCCTCCTGCTCTGTGTATGTGAATTATAGATTCAATTAACAACAAAAATGACTGATTCATGCTCAGATACACAATAAGCAGTTCTCTGGGTTAGAAACAGAAGGTAACAAAGTAGGAAGATGTGGCTAAATCTACAGCCCTGCAGATTTCTAGGCACAAGGAGCAGTTAGAAGCCCCTGGGAGTGTTTATTCCTCTAACGTGACAAAAGTACTCCACATGCAGCATGGAACCATGGTATAGCTGGGCTGTCTGTGTGAAAATAGCTGTGATCACTGCCTGATGTTACTGCCTCCATAAACCTGTGTAACTTTATTACTGGTGAGATCAGCAGAGAAAACAGCACAGAGACCTGAGCAAAGCTGCAAACTGTGTCTGATACTGGGCCAGCTGCAGCCCCAAACCACTTTGAGGCAGGAGTTTCTAGCCACGGAGGCCTAGTTTTGGGCTAGGGTCCTGGATGACTAGAGGGAGGAAACCACAAAACTGCCAAGCAGGGAGGGGTAAGCACAGAAAGAGGCAAGAAGGAAACAAAACTCCCAATGAAAGTAAATGTGCTGATGAAAATTCCAAACCATCTGATGAAAGTTAACATTAAGAAAGAGAGCCAAGGATAGAATTCACCAAAAATAACCCAAAAGCCTGGACAAATATTTTTAAAATCTTGTTAAATGGATCCATAATCTAGAGAAAAAGAAAGAAAACTCAGGAGAAGAGCTTACTGAAGGCAGGAATCCAGAGAATTTGAGAATATGAGTACTGAAGTTGATTCCAGCTTTGAGTCACTTGCTGAACTGGATGTCCCTGAAGAAGGAAAATAAAGCTTATGTGAAACAGGAGACTGTCCCATAAAACTGAGACCATAAAGGTCTACTCCTTAGTATGAGAGGGAATTAGAAAAACTGACACAATCCTTCAACCACTGGGACTGCAAGAAACATGATCAGTTTAAGAACTGTGGTATTTGGGGGGTAGGGAGGATTTCTCCTGAGAATTTGAATTCACAGCTGGCCTTCCAGTTTTGTAGCCTGAATTTATGTTATTTTGGTAGTCCATAAAACCTCAAATCATGAATTACAAGTTGTGATGGACTAGAACGACCTCCAGACACTTGGCACAATTTAACCCTCTTCGGAGGAAACTTCCTTCATTGCAGGCCTCAAAAAATTACTGTGTGAGGAAAATTAACTTAGATCACAATAAAAGAAACCCCACTAAACATCAAGGACATAAGATCCCGTAAGTGAGAAGAGCAGAAACAACAGAGAGCAGACTCAAGCTGAGAAAACCTCAGAGATGAGAAAATTCAGACGCAAAAATAATTTTGGTTAATATGCTTTGATGAGTTTGATAAGAAGAAGTAAATCACAAGCAAAGTTGAAGACATAATCAAAGAGAAAGTCTACAAATGAAAATACAATAATTGAAATTTTAAAAATTCAATGGATGTAGTTAATGGCAGGTTAGATAGAGCTGAAGATATTTTTGGAAGAACTAAATATGTTACGCCGAAAGTAGCCCAGAACGAACATGAAGAAAAAGGTTAAGAGGAATGGAGGAAAGAGTAAAAACAAGTCTAACGTGGACTTACTCTGAAAAGACAAAATGGAGTAGAAGCAATGTTTGAGTAGATGGTGGCTGAGAATGTTCCCGAAAGTCACCAATGCACAGGTTCAAAAACTTTAATACATCAAGCAAGACAGTAAACAGAAATATGACTAAGCTTATCAGTCAGGATAGGCTAGAATTATGTTGTCGTAACCACCACAAATCTCAGTTACTAAAAGCAAAACAATTGATTTCTTCCTCATTTTGAAAGTCCACTGCAAATTGGAAGAGTGACTCTTCTCTTCACCTTAGTTACTCAAATGACAGAGCAACCACCACCTCAAACGTTACCAGTAATCAAATTAAAGGAAAGACAAGAGTCTAGATTCCAAATTGTAGAACAGATAAACAAGATTATACTGTATAGCACAGGGAAATATACACAAGATCTTGTGGTAGCTCACAGAGAAAAAAATGTGACAATGAATATATATATGTCCATGTATAACTGAAAAATTGTGCTCTACACTGGAATTTGACACAACATTGTAAAATGATTATAAATCAATAAAAAATGTTTAAAACAAAAAAGAGTCTAGAAAGTCTCAAATTGGCAAAAAAATACCTCAGCGCTTCAGTCCAGAAGTGACAATGGTCATACTTGTCAACAATTCATAGGCCAGACCCAGGCTGATGGCCCCATCCAATCATTAAGGGAAGTGTAATCCTGCTGCGTACCTGGTTCTCTGGAGAGATCTACAGCTACATGGTGAATAGCCCTAATGACCATCACAGACCACCTTTCTGTCAATAGTTATTTGATGCACCCTCCTCCTTATAACCAAAACACACTCTTTCTCTTCAGAGGAGAGATAAAAGTCCCATTAAATCAATGGTATCAATCTCAAATCTCAGTATTTCCCCCTAGTCTCTAAATCAGGGGATGGTATGCACTAGTCTCCTCTTGATGTGTTGACCTAAGAACTAAAATGCTGTCTGTCCTGTATGCAAACAAGGTCAAACAAAGATAGAAAACTGTAGTAAACACTCCTATTCAGAAAGAGAAAGATGGGAGACACACAAGCAGTCACTGGTCCAAAACAATTCTCTGCTACAAGGGCCTCTACTTTGGTGGTACAAAAATTCCTTGAATGGAACCTGATTCTGCTTGCTGGGAGGGGATCCCTAATTGCTGTCCAAAGCTATTGATCGTACCATCCAGGAGGTCCTTCCTTTTTATGTAACCTTCTTGACCACAGCTGAGGGGGACATTAGGGAATATGTTCTATTTGGGTACCAAGCAACTTTCTCCATATCCTACTCCATTTGGAAAATTCAGGCCCAAGGGTCACTTTATGTTGATCAGTCATAAAATTTTAGCCTAGAATTGTGGTTTCTTTGACAGTTAAACTCTCTCAAAATTTCTGCTTCTTATTTACGTGATTCCAGTCAGCAAGGAGCCAATACTCACACCCACAAAGTGAAAGACATGCTCACCCCCAGCTCCTGTCTACAACTGACCGAAGTACCCTGAGCCCATGAGGCATGGGTAGAAGACTGACGCTTTAGCACCCGTTTCCTAAGTCATCTTATATTTCTGAACAAATTCACTGGGCATTGGTATTTCTGATTCCTGACAGATATTAATATTTAGGATGTGGGAATGAGGAACCAAAATTTCTGAGAATTCTCAGGTATCCATAAATTATGCAGAATCGTCATTCTGTATTTTCATGATACCACATTTAATATACTTTTAAATAGTTAGGAGTGACCATAATAAGCACTGAATCACTTTACTATGACAGTTATACTAAATTTTCAGATGTTTTCTGTTAAAAAAGATATAATGATAAACATATAGTTTATTAATATGAACCAATGTATTGTGACAAGCTTGTATATTTTGATACCATTAAATCTACCTGACATAGATATCTGATAACAAAAAACATTAAAGGGAACATCAACATAAATGCCAAATAAAAATCATTTTAAAAATCAGAAGCATTACAAATATTTGTTTAGAAGTTTTTCTTAATATGAAATTTGAAAAGTCACAACATATTAATTGCCCTGATAGTCTTTATTTTGCAACAAATATTTCAGACATAGAAATTTTTCTTTTATTTTTGCATTGATATAGTCAAGTTCTTAAGGATTGTCCAAAGACATCTTTAAGTTGGTATTACGTTACATGTTGCTTCATAGAAGCTCTTTTCCTTTTTTTGATGATAAAAATATTTTGTCTGCTTGCCCTGATTTTGGTCTTGCTGTTGCAATCGATAATTGCTTTTGCTAATTTAGAATTGGTATTAGTTTCTGATCTCATTTCAGACTGTTCCACAACATTTACTTCTTTTTGCATTTCTTGTTAAAGGATTTGCAAAGAATAGCACCCTTTGGCAAATAACCATGTACTGGGAAACGCCACCAAATTCATTTGGTAGTATTTGAATAATGTTAAATTTCTATTTCGTATCAAGGGTAATAGCACCACACAGAATCACAAGTCAAAACTGCTAATTTATGGAATTATTTTGCCTCCACAACATGTTATTTTTAGAATATCATTGATGGGATCTGCATAAAGTATCCTAAGTATATAAACCTATTAATATTTATTTTACTTATAAGAATGACTCACCGTTAGCAGCAGAGAGGGGCATGAATGCACATTTATAACATGGCAATAGCTACAAATCAGTGATCAGATTGTGACCACTTCTCTTCTATGGGCTCCTGTTCTGGCTCCTAGAAATGATGACTTTACTCTTGGACTACACGTGTCAGCATCCTCTGCTCTTACTTCAGTGGATTCCTACAAAACAGCAATGGCTCTAAATTTATACTAAGCTTTAATCCTCACAGAGGAGTTACAACACCTTCTCCTGTTTCATCAATTTCTTGACTGATTTGTTTTGAAATTCAGAAAAATATACGTTTCCCAAGAAATGCTGTGAAGGAATTTCCGCATAGTAAACACTTTGGGGACTCTCCGTAACCTAAACTAGCGTATGATATGGCCATATTCTTAATTTAATTCAGCTTTCTTGTTTAGGCCTTCTTTTATTGGCAGCGGATGAAAAGCCTGGCCTCTTCTAACCCTGCAAGTATCTGAATTTTTGAACTTTTTCTATTCTCTTTTGTTCCCATTTGCAATCTTACTGTTTTTCTCATCTTCATTCTTAAAGTACCTTGTCAAATGCAGCTAATATAGTAACCAAAATATGCTGTTAACATTCTGTTATTTAAACTCCTCCAAAAAAACAAAGTCAGTGTTAATCTAGTAAAAGTGAAACATGCACAATTTTTTTTTAGTGCCTACATACATACAAAAGTCCTATTACATTGAAGTCAGTACAAGCGAGTGGTCCTGGAGTAACAATTTTTGATGTAACAAAAATAACCATGTCAACCAAGAAATCAAAAAATGACATTACAGAAGCCTATAAAAATGTAATGATATTAAAACTTCTATAGTTAGTATATCTTTAAATCACATGCTGTCTTTCCTATTAATAAAATATTCACTATCCCCCCTCAATTCTTCAATTTCTATTAATAAAAGAGACCAGTAGGTCCTTTTCTTTAGGTTAAGAGGTCCTCCATTCCATATGAATATAATCATTGTTGGAATAATAAATAAAACTGTAAGTAGTACCATCAATGGGAGAGTTATTTGCAAAAACTGGTTTATTTTAAAAGGAATATTCAGTATAAATGCTGGGGATTATAGATACGATATAAAACACCCAACTTCAGAATCAGATCAAATTGGGTTCAAACCTTGGCTTTGCGACCTTAAGCAAATAACTGCCTAGATATTTGGTTTCCTTACCTTTCCACTTATAGCCAAAACAAGATGACTCATATTTTTCCAATTCCTTTTAAAAATATTTAGAATAGTTCTTAAAATTTTTATAGAGTGAGAAAAATTCCAATTTCCTCCCTAAAACATTGGAAAGATGCAAAGGGGAAGAAATAACACAAATAAATATAGCATTCAGATTTTCAATGTAAAATAAAAGCACATCCACAAAATGAATATAATACTTCTTAGTATCACTGAACTGCATTTATAATCAATCATAATTCTATGTTAGGTAACAGGGAACTAAAACATAGTGAAGCACCCTGGTAGTTCTCAGGCAGTCCCTACTGGCTTTCATAGTCATATCAAGAAAGTCTAAGCACTTGTGTATTGGTTTGTTATGATTTCAAATCCAGTTGTTTATTATGACTTAAGTGAAGTTTTTATCTAAGGTTGAATTTACTTACATTGAGGAAGCTGTGCCAGGATGCATCAACATGTTGTCGATACGTACTCAGTAGTTTAGCTGTTAAAGGGTACCGCTAGGGGCGCTAATCGATAGGAAGATATGGACAAGCAGTCAACATGTGATGGGCATTTAAACTTTAAATACCAAGAATTTGTGAGGACTTACCAAGAGTGTTTGGTTGGGGCAAGGCTACATTTTGCTGATTTAAATAGCTCTCTGAAGACCTTGAGATAATTGCTCCTGCCGTGGCCAGGCCACTCTTGGTCCGCAGCAGTGTTAAAGCAGTCTTTGGAAGAGAAGGGACATCTGTCCCTGTCTTGGAGGCTACCCCTGGAAGGCAGTGGTGCAAGCCATATAATGGTCCCTGGACCAGTAACATTTGGGGCAGCCCAGCTTGCCTACCAACAGTGGTGCTGTCACCCCCTAGCAACATGCCCCAACAGCAAGGGACCTAAGCTGACAGCTGATACCCAGCTTTTAGCTGGAAGGACTGATTCTTCTGAGAACCAATTCATGGAAAGGTACATTTCAAATAAATAAACTTCTTTTATCTCCCCTTTGCCTGGAACAATAGCATAATCAATCTATTATTGGTTTGGAGTGTGTTATTTCTTTATTAGCTTATTAACAAACATTATCCTGCATGCTATTGGCTTGTGAAACATTATTATTATAGACTGTAATTCCCACAGTGAACCTATGTGAAATAAATTATTGGCAAAGAAAACCTCACTCCCTGACCACAATCTGTCCGGACAAAACAGCACTCTAAAGCAGATGTAAGCAAACTACAGTCCATGGGCCAAACCCAACCAACATTCTGTTTTTGTAAATAAAGTTTTATTGGAACACAAACACGCTATCGTTTACATATTGTCCATAGCTGCTTTCAAGCTACGAGGACGAGCTGGATAATTGTGACCACACAGCCTACAATTACTTACTATCTGGCTCTACACAGAAAGTTTGCTGACGCCTGTTCTAAAGCATTGCTACTCAACGGTTTGGTTTGTATTCCTCAATTGTTTGTTCCTGATCAGAAATGAGATAAGGAGATTATGTGAAAACATAAAACAATTATGTTACCGAGTACAATGTTTATATCAATTTTTTGTTTTCATTGCTAGACTTTCTCAGTGAAGGATTTACAGTCTGGTATGGTTTCCTTTTCTCATAGTGGATGAGTATAAACAGTTCATTGATCAGGTATTTTGCATACCACTACAATAAGTATTTAGGAGCAGGAGAAGAAACTACTCAAAGCTCAAAAGGGATTATTGTATCACTTAGAGACATTTTGGCATAGTGCTCTAGGGTTTTGCAGCATTAGGTAGCAGGCTTGGCAACTAAATGAATAAGATTCAGGAAGTAGTCCATGCATAGACTCTTTTTCTCCCTGTCCTTCTAAGGTTTAACTTACTCAATAAATCTTCTCTGCTATAGATTTATGTTTCAACAAGATGAAGAATAACAGCTATTAAGTCCCTCTCTCCCTCCTTTCTTTAAAGTAGGAAAGATAAAAATATTTGCTCCCCCACAAAAATATTCAAGAAAATAAATCAATACTATATTTTGCCTAGTTAGCCTCTTTAATTTACTGAGCAGATAAAAAACTATATTATATTATAATTCTCTTTAAGTGGAAGAATTTATAAAGCAAATCTATTCTCTGTAAATAGCAACAGTTTTCCCCTAATACTTTCAACCCTAATTTAAAATAAATCATGCATCATTTAAAGAATACAGAATGAAATTCTACCATTAACTTTAACATAAAATTTCCTTGAACAGGTGTACAATTTCTAAAAGTGCCAAAGGTAATCTGATTCACACAGCTTTCTGAAAAATAAAATTATTCAGGGACAGATTTTTATTGCAAATATTTACTCAAAAACTATGTACAGCAGAATTTTAATAGCCATTTAAAACATTTAACATTCAGTGAAATGAAATTTAAGAATTCAAAGCACATTTTAAGAAGTAAAAATGTAGCATTTTAAATAAAAGTTTATTAGTACTTCAAAGCAAACTACTGTTACTCATATTATTCATTTCTGTATCTATTATTCTCTATATGATAAAAAACTGAAAAATCAATTTAGCAGCCATCTTATGGATAAATTAGGCTAAATATCCCAAACCAATTTTTTACATCCTGCTTTAGGTCCCATTTGAAGTTTCTATTTTACAGTTACATAAAAAGTCACTTAAATATGGCTGAATTCATGCCACGACATGTTTTCAGTTTACTGCTTTACAATATCTACATTATACCATACTTTGGTTTGGTTTCCAGACCATTTTAATGGGCCTAATTCTAAAGAAGATCATTAAAACAATACCAAAAGCATCATAGCTACAGGAGTTTCAACAATGGGTTTCTACTTTATACAACTAGTACATCAAGGGATTTCTGCACAGCTTACACACTGACAAAAAGCACAAATATAAATTTATATTTTAATAATTTCACTTTCACTGAAAGTTTAATTAAGGTAAGCTTACAGCCTGGCAGGCTAACACTTGTTTGGAGGTACAAAGATTCAAATATTCTGTTTACATGCTTCTGGCAGTCTGGAATGTTATATTAAATCCAAAGTTAAGTTTATGTTCATCCAAGTTCTTTTTAGATCAACAAATTTAGCACTCTAAGCATGCTCCATTTACCAGCTTCATACTCAAAATGAAGCTTTCATTAACAATGCCAATCAGCCATTATTTTAAATCAATGATTCCCCAAAGAGATGTAGTTTCCAAATCTCTTCCTTTAAGTTAATTGAAAAGGATGTACAGGTAATAAGGACTTTTAGCTTAGGAATGATGGAAATTTCAAAAGCTTTATTACTATAACTAATAATCAATTCATACTGGAAACCAAGTTCCGTATCTTTGAAAAGCGCTAAATGAGACATTTTCTTTGCAAATTTAACTTTAAAATTCTATTCATGTTTTAAAAACTTCTTGGAAATTCACACTAATCATGCTATTAATGGTGAATTGATTTAACAACCTAGGTTGAACATACAGGTAAAGTGTATGAATGACCTCCCTCACAGTTTTCCATCTCTGAACTTTGCAACAGCACCACTGAGCTCACCTGATAGCACTTTTCCAAATGCTCTCACCGTTGGTACACTAAAACTTAGAATGACTAATTAAGTTCAGCTCTTTTCTTTTTCGTCTGCCAGGTCTACTGTTGTCTCTGTTGTGCTAAGGCTATTTTCTCCAGGAATGCCATCTGTTTGATCAGACTCTACTTCATCAGTCTTGGCTGGAGGATCACCACTACTTTTCTGAAGAATCTCTGTGGCTTCGTACTCAAGTACCTCTGACGGAGTCAAAGGCTCCAAATGAATACTGCCTTGCTCACTGACATCAGAGCTAACAGATTCAGGTTCATCTCTTTTTCTCAAAAACTGGTCAATGCTGACATCACCAGATGTTAACCGCAAACCCTTAATATTCTTCGAAGAAAATATGACTTCACCGGTGTTGCGCTCTTCAGTCTGATCACAGGAAACAATGTTTTCTGAATTGTGGCACATCTTCAACTCTGTTTCCTGACAAATGTGCTCTATTTGTTTTTCCTTCTCCACTTTATCTGCACCAGTGACTGAATCATAACTGAAGATATTCTTTGAGCCAGTTTCCTGGTCTCCAAGACAGGTATCATTTTCCTTATCTGAAACTGATACGCCTTCTTCATTTTTTGCTGCTGATGAGCCCGTAAATAAGTTTGCATCACATCCATTTTTTATTTCCTCTGAAGAAGCTTCATCTTGTTTACTGAAAAAATAAAGCCATTTATTATCTATTCCTTCATTATATAATGTATTTGAACACTATCAAAACAAAGACATTCTCTAAAAAATTAAAAAAAAAAAAGTAAAGGCACATTTGCCCACCAAAAAGAAAAAAAATCTAAGTCCCCAGTCTTCTCCATGATGTTACAATTTAGGAGGCAACCATGATCTTATGCAAGAGAGAAACTCCATAGTCACAAATTAAAAAGAAACCTGAGGAGTCTGCTGATTGGTTTTAATCTTGGTTATCATTATTTTTATCTGTTCATACCCTTGCCTTTTTTAGCTAAAATGTAAATGTTCTTATTAATTTGTAAGAGAACTCTAAACAAGGAATGAATATATACAGAAAACCTATTTTTCTTTTACGATTTATATATCCTGTTAGGCTTAGAGTATCTTTCCCTATGCAAAAATCATGTAACCAGTCACAAACATTTCCCCATTTTTCACAGCCTAATTTAAAAAAGCATAAACACACGCCTGAAAAAATATATGTAAATATAAAACATGCATACATATGTCTATGCACATATGTGTCTGTGTTTACTCTTAACCTGGTGTGTTAACAGAAACTATTTAGTGAATCATAAAACATTAGAAACAGAAGATTTCTGAGGATCTCCAGCACCTTATGTAGATTTTGCTTATTTTAACAAAAAGAAATGTAATGATTACATCTATCTTATTTCTTACATTAATCCACCTGGAATTTAGACTTTTTTCTAATGAGCTGCCCAAACATCAAAGCAACATTATCAGATGGTCATTTATTATTGGCTAAATTATATTATAAAGCTATTTCCCTGCTGTTCATTTCATTCTGATGTGTCTTTAGACTACCATGGGCCAATACCACCAAGTTTTGACAAGTATAGATTAACATCGTTCTTTATTATCTACTAGGTCAAATCACTTACAGGCTACTATTCGTCTCCCTAAATTTTAGTTTGGAAATGTAAAAGATATTTGTACAAGAATGTTCATTAAAGCAATTTTTAAAACAGTGAATACAGAAACAACCTAATATCTAACAAAAGAGCTGTGATGTTAGAAATTATAGTATTAATAAATAGAAACACATGAGTCTTATTTTAAACACTGCCAGTTTCCAAACCAAATCCAATTTGGATTTTCAACTATATGTTCGTTAAATCATAAACTAATTTGGAAAATGAACTACCAAGTAAGTTATTAATATATTATTTTCCATCTCAGTAAATTTTGTTTTTCTTCTAAATCTTCTAAATAGATCTTGCACATTTCTCATTTTGTTATTATTGTGAATTAACTTTTTTATCCATTGTATTTTGTAATCACATTATTGATATATCAGAAAGATTCTGAATTTTACACCAAGCTACTTTAATCAATATTCTCATTAATTTCAATCATTCTTAGCTTATTGTCTTGGATCTTATAGGTCAATTACTACATCTGCAAAAAAATTATCTTCCCCTCATTTAAATTTGTAGAATTTTAATTTTTGTTCAGATCTTATGGAACTAACTACCATTTACAGAAAATGTTAAATTTAGAGGTGACTAGACTGCTTCTTTTAAATCCTTAGTTGAACTTTCCCAACCAGAATTCTAGGAAAAATGCTAGGTGACGAAAGTGCTAAATAAATTTTTCTAGTGAAATCTAAGAAAAACATCTTCAAAATGTCTTATTCCATAATTTTCTTTTTAGGGGCAACAGATTAATTAATCTCATCAGGTTAACAAACAATTTATCGTAAAATACACAGCATAAAGATAGAAATGCGGAAATTACTAAAAGGCAAAATCATCTTTACTTGGAATAGAGTTCTAATTAGAATGTTGGATTCTCTTTTGCCAAAAAAGGATTGTGAAGTATCTTGTGTTCTGTAGTGGTCTACTTGAGCGTTAATTTTTTTAAAAAAGCAATCCCTGAATTTTGAAACTTCTATGTTGAGATCCCACCACAGACACAGCTTTATAACTTATTGAAAATACTTAAAAATAAGATTTTTAAATTACCTATTTGCAATAATTGTCACCATCTTGTAACCTGTAGCATCTTGTAACTATTCTCATTTAATAGAGGCATTTAAAATCTGTTAACATTTTATTCACTTGTAAGACTTTTAAAAAATTTAATAACTGATCAAATGTACTCTACATGTTTAAAAGATTTCAAAACTAAGGATCTGCAGTATATTTTTGTTGTATTAAAATTTCAAAATTTGATTTTAATTAAAAGCCATTACTAAAAGCAACACCATAAACAAAAGTTAAATAGCCCTTTGCCAATTAACTGAAATATGACACAGCTCAAGTATCATATACATGAATTTCAAGAGATTCAGTTTTTCCTTATGATTACCTTTCAGAATTTGATGTTTCTCTTTCTCCTTCAGCCATATTAGGTCTTGGAATTTCCTGAAATGATTAATCATATTTTTCTTTCATGTTAATTTAACCAAACTTATAGTAAATGACTTTTATTATACTAAACTTTCTAGATAAAAAGAACTTAAGTGTGTGATCTAATATACAAAAGAAATAGAAAAACAATTTCTCAATTTAAAGTATGTATTAGAATAATTTTCATAATTAAAAGCAGAATTTCAAAAATTGCTTTTTAAAAAACCGGTAAGATATTTCAGTGTGCCAAAAGTTTCTGAATCAAGGACGTGAAACGGTTATCCAGTTATAAGAATACCTGCTTCTCTTAAATTCTTTCAAATATGGGCCATAATTACAAAGACTTGATTAGAAACCAGTAAAAGACACCTTGAATTTGAATAAGTTTCATCTGCAGTATTTTATACACACATTAAATACAGATACTTAGATAAAACATTTCTAAAATTTTAATTTTATATTTGGAGTCATGGTAACCCTTCCATTGTCAAACCAAGTAACATTAAATGAAAGACAAATGAAATACTCTGCTTATTTCACATGTTTAATGAGGAGGAAAGAATACAATAAAACCTCAGTAGGCCAGAGGTCTGCCCAGCAGTTTATAACAATTACCAGTTATTGAGCATATATGATGTATGAGGTGGTATGTTAAGAACTTTATATTCAGTACCTCATTTAATCCTCATATTAGATATTATAAACTCCATTTTTACAAAGGAGAATAAAGACTGCGTGGGTTAAGCAGAAAACCCAAGGCAATATCAAAAACAATAAGTGGTGAAGTTTCAAATCTAGGTTCAGCTCGTAGTTGCTATGGTGACTGACTCAAGCCTGTGAAATTGATTGTGGTGTATTGATCATGTACATTTATTTCCTCACTCTCCAAAAACTCTGCTAAAATGCTAAAATGCAGGTAAAGAAATAAAACATTTTCAGTGATAAAGACCAAGGAAACATCAAAGCATACTAACTGTCAAAGAGATTTCAACAAATTTTTAGGTGCAAAGTGGCTGGGGAAATGGAAATTGACTTTACAGTGTGGAGGAAGTCACGATGAAATGTCTGAGCAGAGGAGTGCAAAGAGAAGAGAATCAATTTGCCCAGAGAACATAAAAGATCTGGTATTTGGAGAAATTCAGTACAATATCCAAAACTTAAAAGGCAAAAATGAAGCATGAGTACTGCTGAGAAATCTAAATGTTCTTTCCCAACTCATACAACAGGTACCTATCCTTTCCTCTATCGCTTAGGCCAAAGGTTAACTCTCTGAACTGGAGACAGTCTAGACTTGTGAACACCAGGAATGGCAAAGGGCAGGCATGAGGTACTGAAAGAAAACAGAAAAATTTAGTAAAGTCCATAAACTGAATAAAGGAACTCACTTATATCTCCCTGCCTGGTTTCCAGATGCTAGCAGCCAGAGAAACCACTCTTCACCACACCACCCCCAGCTGGAATCTAAAAGATGCCTCTTTGGATGAAATTATCAGCCTCAAAGGCTTTGAGAGCATCCTCCCCACCATAGAACAGTCAGTTCAGCATCTGATTTTCCTGTGTTGAATCTAAACAATTGTCATGCAGACTGTGCAGGTCATAGAGCGCACTAATCCAGGAGGCAACCTTCACAATATAATCCACATCAGCAGTTCTCCAAGTGTGGTTCACACATGCATGTGGCCTCCCAGACACTTCCAGGAGGTATGTGAGGTTAAAATGGTTGGTACTAAAGCAGTGGTGAGTAAAAATACTGGAATCTTAACACAAATCAAGGCACTGACATCAAACCAAAATTGTACTGGCAATCATTGTATTCCCCACTGGCACACACCAGCAGTAAAATTAATTTTACTGAGTATCAATCCTTGAGTGCATGTCTTTTTAAGTCTGCGTAATGAAATAGCAAATATACATACAGCACTGCTATTGCACGCTGAAAACACCTGGGTCTGTGACTGAGTTGCAAGCAGAACTTAGCCACAATTTTTTCATGGAACATCATTTTTATTTTACAGAATAACTGTCAAACTATGAATATTTATACTTGAGTATTTAGAAGACATTTTCTTCAAAATTGACAAAGTGAGATTTTCACATCGAAGAAAACAACTGATAGTATTTGTTGCCAGTAATAAAACTCAAGGAGAAATTAAATTTTAGGAAAACTTATAGCCACTATTCATGAGGTTAATGCTAACATTAATGCATGTGATTACTTGATGTTATATAATGAAACATGTCATCACTTGGAAGATCTATGTAACCAGTGAACCAATATATTCCAAATGACTAATGCATGATGTTATAAAATCATGCATGGTTAAAGATCCAATCAAAGTGTAAGACAGACCAATCGATTTTAATCTAACAAAGTACAAGAAGTTCAGCGATAAGGAGTCAGATTCCATGTTGCAACAAACCTTTAAGAAAACTTCCACTTGTCTACTTTTGATGTCATATAAGAGAAGAAAAAATCACAGTTAACTGAATAGATTTTTAAAGTACTGGATGAAGCTGGGTATTCTTCATATATTTCAACCAAAATAAGATATCACAACAGATTGAATGCAGAAACACGAAAATCATTTTCTTCTATTTAACTGGACATTTAAGACATATGCAAAAGTGTAAAACAGTTTCATTCTCCTAACTAAATTTATTTTGTTTTGACAAATAGTTATTTCTCAGAAAAATATTTATGTATTATAAGTAACAATATTTTTTAAGTTTCATATATTTAATTTCTAGTACAGTAAACATCAATAAATTTTGAGAGTACCAAGGTTGTCCCCTCTAGAGTGTTGCAGTGTACAACCTGTATGGCCATGTAAGGTAGCCCTGTCCCTGTCCAAACAGGGTTTTCAATAAACTTTTTTAAAGCTTCACTTTTTAATATGTATGGACAGCCAAGGATCACCACACAACTGAATACCTTCTTTAAATCAGAGATCAAAATAAACAAGAGAATAAAGAAAGAGGCTAGGAGACATCAGAGACATTGCTGGGAACAAAAGAAATATATACATATGTGTATATATATATATATAATTGATATATACTTAATATCCCTTGAGATATGAGATGTTATTACATCCATTAAACAAGAACAAAAACTATGAAAATGAAAGAATTAAAGAACAAATAAAAAAATTACAGAGCGATTCAAAATTAAACATATGGCAACCCAAATAAGCAATTAAGTTTAGAAAATCAGTGCTTTGCCAAGCCAAATTGGAACCCGAGGTAAAATACATAAAACATAAAATTTACCATCTTAAATCATTTTTAAAATGTACAATACAGTGGCATTAAATACATTCAGATTGTTATGCAACCATCACCACCATCCATCTCCAAATTTTTTCATCCTGTAAAACTGAAATTCTACACACATCAAACAATAATTCCCCATTCTTCCCTCCCCCCCAGCCTCTGGCAACCACCACTATACTCTCTCTTTTGATTTTGATTGCTCTAAGTACCTCATATAAGTGAAATCATACAATATTTGTCTTCCTGTTGACTGGCTTACTTCATTAGCAAAATGTCCTCAAAGTTCATCCATATTGTAGAATTCCCTTCCTTCTTACAGCTGAATATTCCATGGTATGTATGTGCCACATTTTGCTTGTCCGTTCATCTACTGATGGACACTTGGTTTACTTCCAAGTTTTAGCTATTGTGAATAATGCTGCTACGAAAATTGGTGTACAAATATCTCTTTGATTCTCTGCTTTCAATTCTTTTCAATAAACCCAAAAGTGGAATTGCTGGATCACATAATTTGTTTAAGGACTGCCACATTGCTGTAGAATTTTACATTCCATCAATAGTACACAAGTGTTCCAATTTCTCCACATCATTGCCAACATTCATTTTGTTTTGTTTTGCTTTTGATAGTAGCCATCCTCATGGGTGTGAGGTGGTATCCCACTGCAATTTCAATTTGTATTTCTCTAATGATTAGTGATGTTGCACATCTTTTCATGTGCTTATTGGCCATTCAAACATTTTCTTTGGTGAAATGTCTGTTCAAGTCCTTTATCTATTTTTGAATTGGGCTGTTTATTTTTTGTTGTTGAGTTTTAGGAATTCTCAATATAGTCTGGATATTAATCTCTTATCAGATATATGATTTACAACTATTTTACCCCATTCTATGGGTTGCCTTTTTATTCTCTGGATAGTGTATTAAATGTACAAAAAATTTAATTTGTGCAATTTGTCTATTTTTAAATTATCTGTGCCTTTGGTATAATAACCAAGAAATTACTTTTAATTTCAATGCCATTAAGTTTTTGTCCTATGTTTTATTCTAAGAAGTTTTATCATTTTGGGTCTTACATTGTAAGTCCTTCATTAGTTTTGAGTTAATGTTTCTATACAGTGCTAGGTAAAAATCCAAGTAAATTATTTTGCACGTGGATATCCAGTTTTCCTAGCATCATTTATTGAAAAGACTTCTTTCCCCATTGTCTAGGCACCATTGTAAAAATCACTTGAACCTATAGACAAGGGTTTATTTCTGGGCTCTTTATTACATGCAATTAGTCCTGCAGTTTTCAAAACTACTTTGGCCATTTGAATTCCTCTGAGATTCCATATGTATTTTAGGATGAGCTTTTCTGTTTCTACAAAAAAAAAAAACTTTGGGATTCTTGTGATTTCTTTGTAGGGACTGCAATAAAAACCTGTAGATTGCTTTGGGTAGTAATGGCATTTTAACAATATTAAGTCTTTCAATATATAAAGATGGAATCTCTTTCCATTTATTTGTCTTCTCTAATTTATTTCACTAGGTTTTATAGTTTCATTATAGGAGTCTTTTGCCTCCTTAATTAAGTTAATTCCTAAGTATTTTCTTCTTTTGTTGCTATTGTAAATTGTTTTGTTTTTGTAATTTCCTTCTCGGATTGTTCATTATTTGTGTATAGAAGTGCAACTGATTTTTGTGTGTTCATTTTTGTATCCTGCTACTTTGCTGAATTAATTTTAGTCCTAATAGGGTTTTTGTG